ACAAGTGCTAGAGAACACTAAAAAATGATACGATCACTCCTAGAATCCATGCCTTCCGCGTAGTATAGCTCTAACCGTTGTAGAGTGAATCTCCGCATGGTGCGGTGACCGTGGAACGGCCCCGCAGGCTTACCTTCAGATTAGCAGCCGACATATCACATACCTAAGTCGTTCGTAGGCCGGTAGCTCGTGCAGACTATGACGCTCGTCCCGGTAGGACCCGGCGTGGTAGAGGATAATATAGAGGCACGATTGGCTGATGCGAGGAGACACCACGAGGGTGGCAAGTTCAGGCCGACCCTCCCCTCGGAGGTGGTCGTTTTGGGCATCCGTGCACAGTGGGTGACGGATCACCCTTCCCGACCCGCTTCTCCTCAACCAGTACAAAACGATGGCAGCGTCGACAATGAGGTCGTCGGTAGTGACCAAGTCGGTGGCAGCGAAGGCACAAAGAAGAGAGGAGTGGTAAGGGCCAGCGACAGCGACGTCGGCAGAAACTAGGCGCGAGTGCAGTGGTCTACGGCGGTCGCATGCAGCTTGCATGGCGACGTCGACGATTGACGTCACTCTCCTCTACAAAGTAGTGGGAGGCCCACGTCGACGACGCATGTGACGGCGGGCGGGATCGCGCCAGCGTATGGGTACATTAAGGGCGTCTCCCACTTTGGGTGAAGAATACTGTTTGGGTCATCCGAGATTCTTGGACGACCAATGGTATTCTAGTACTGTAGCTAAAATGCACCCTATTGGTCGTCTTAGAATATCGGATGACATGAACAATACTCCTGATCCGAACTTGGATACGCCGTAAGTTCTCGCTGGAGAAGATCACCGTTGCGCCACTACAAGGTCGACGGAACCTCATCACGTAGAGGGAGGTGATTGAGCCTCAACTGGGGATCGCCAGGCTGATGGGGTTCATCGACGGCAATGTGCTGACGCCCGGCGCGAACGACGTCGAGCTGCGGGCAGAATTTCGTGCCTCTCACCTGCTGACCGTCATGGTCATCTCAAGGTGCCGCTCACCGATGGTGCAGATTGCACTTAAGCCGTGTCGAAATCTACTCAACGCCGGCCACCAAGCATGGTGGTTCATCCTGTTAACCTACCAGGCAACGGACGACCTGTACATCGGCCAGCTGGAGGAGCAGCTGACTCACCTCAGGATGGGCGAGCAGGAGTCGGCGACGGACTACTGCAACCGTGCTCGACGGATCCTTGCCGACATGAGAATGGCGGGCGTTGACTACTCATCGATGTCGTACATCACACACGTCGTCAAGGGTCTCTCCTGAGCGACTACAATCTCATGCGCTGGATGTTGGTGATGCCCGGCATCGGGAGTCGCTCAACGAGGACACCCTCACCAGCTACATCATCAATGATGAGGCAATGCAGGAGGCTGAAAAGTCCACGGAGCTCCTTCCGCAGGCGAACTATATTGCCATGGCGAAACAGGGGAGCCGAAAGGGGCGGTGCGGTAAGTCGAGCAGAGGTGGTAGCGGAGGTGGGCCGTCAACGAAGGACGTCGACCAGACAATGTCTACTTGTGACAAGGGTCGTGGAGGTGGTGGTCGACAGCAGGAGTGCTGGATCTGCGGCAACCCCGACCACATCTCCTTCGAATGTCCTGACCACGACGACAACGACGATGACGACAACAAGGGAGGTCGCGGACGGTCGACCAATCGTCATCCACGTCGAGATGAGAAGTCGTGCAAGGAGAAGCAGGCGTTGAAGAAGACGTCATGGACGAATAACGTTGACTCCTCCAGCGGCAAGGGCCGAGGCGACGGGGAGGCTTTGTGCTCGATGGTCGGTGTGGTAGAGCCAACACTTTCGCTTGCACTGGAAGCCGGGGAGGACTTCAAGGCGGACGCAGGCACCGTGCAAGCGAATCCGATGGTGGTGCTGCTTGACAGCAGCGGCTGCTCACACCACCTGATGGGGACGAAAGAGGTCTTTATTGACATGGCACCGAGCGGTGATGTGAATCATGTGCGCGGCTTCAACGGGGCTCTGCAGACTGTTGAGGATCGCGACACCGTCACTCTGCAAGGGGAGGTCAAGAAGCAGGTCCACATCCTTGACGTGCTCTACGTTTCGGGTGTGCAGGCAAACCTGCTGTGAGCCGGCCAGTTGCAAGAGAGAAGCGTGAAGCTGCAGGACAACGGTGACGAGATGCTGCTCGTGTCAAGTACAGGCAAGTTACTCGGTCGAGCACGCTACACTGGCCACGTCCTCTGCACTGACCTTCGCCCCTGCTCGACAAAGCCGTCATCGACGTCGACCCCCGACCGGTGGCACGTGAGGCTCGCGCATGTCGGCATCGACACGATCAAGAGTTCGGCGAAGCATGTAATCGCCACCGACCTCGACATCAAGCCGTCGACCGGAGCTGACTTGCCATATGTTTCGTGCGTTGGTGGGAAGCTGACGCAGCAAACCTTCCCTGACAAAGGCTCGCACGCAGAAAAGGCATTGGTTGTCATGCACATCGACTTGTGCGGGACATTCTGGGTGGCCGCCAAGGACGGCAACCTAAACTTTCTCCTGCTGAAGGACCACCACACTTGTTATGTGTGGGCGAAATCGGTCGCTAAGAAGAGCGACGTTCTGTGGGTGTTTGAGAAGTGGCTGCTGGTGGTGGAACGGAAGACGAAGAAGTTAGTGCTGATGCTCCGCTCCGACCACGACGGCAAATTCCTTGGAAAGGAATTCACCAACTTCGTCGACGGGAAGGGCATCGTCCACGAATTGATGTGCCCATACACTCCGCACCAAAACGGCATGGTGGAGCGGGAGATGCGGACGGTGGTGGAGTCGGTGCGGATGATGCTGCTGCACATGGGCGTGCAGCACCACTGGTGGTACCTCGCCTTGCGGCAGGCCGTTTGGGTGTGCAACTACTTGGAGCGATCGACAATGCCACCGGGGACGACTCTGTACCAGCTGCTGACAGGCAAGAAGCCTGACCTCACACTAGCGCAAGTGTGGGGCCGCATAGTGCAGTTCATGGTCCCCGAGCAGTAGCGCGGTGGGAAGCTAGCGCCGAAGGTTCACTGGGGCATTCACCTAGGAGTGTCGCCGGAGAGCAAAGGCTGGGAGGTCGTCGACCTCACCGACAACAAGGTCGTCACCGCGGTGGAGGCGATCTTCTACGAATTTTTTCGTTGGAGGTGTGGAAGGTGACCTACGGGCCATCGTCGGGGCGGATGCAGGCCAACGGACACCTCGAGGATGACATTCCTGCTGCTCGCAGAAGTCGGTGAACCTGCTGATGAGGACGTCAAGGACGTCCAACCCCTTCCCTCTCTTGTTCCTGCTGCTCCACCCCTTCTCGCCGACCTGAATAAGTCGACACCGTTGTCGGCCACTTGCGATGAGAGGAGCCTTGAGGCGTCTCCTGTGGCGCCAGCCAGTGGCATCACCAGCGGCCGACGTGACGCCAAGCTTGTCGATGAGGCAGTCGACAAGGGAGCTGTCGATGAAGGAGAAGTCGGTGAGCGGGGTGATGAGAGGGGAGGAGCGGGTCGAGGTGCCGACGCAAGTGAAGCAGCTCGTTGACAACGAGGTTGTCGATGATGAAGGGGAGCTGTCGGCAGGGAAGAGTCCACCGACAGCATGTTGTGGAGGTTCCGGTTGAGAAGCCTGAGCTGGACGCTCAGGTCGAACTCGGAAGCTGCCGGAGCAGCTGAGATTTGACACTTGTCTGCCGCCAGCCACTTTCATCACGCTGCTCGACGATGCAGAGGCCGACGTCGACCTGCCTGAGCTCGACCCCGACATGCACGTCGACCCGGAGCACCGTTGGGACATCGCGATGATGACGATGAAGGAGGCGTTGGGGAGATGGAAAGGCAAGGTGGTGAAGGGTGCCATGGATGAGGAGATCCACAGCCTCATTGCCAATGGCATGTGGGAGCCGGTTGAGCGTCTGCGCGGCGTCAACATCATGAAGAACCAGTGGGTGCTAATGATGGTACCACATCGACGACACCGTCGAGCGCGAGAAGGCGAGGCTGGTCGTGAAGGGCTTCACGCAGATGTACGGCGCCGGCTACGACAAAACGTACTCGCCGGTCGGGAGCTAGGTCACGCTGAGGATTTTGCTCAGCATCGTCGAAGTCCTGAACCTGAACCTGATGCAGCTCGACATGACGCCTTCCTCCAGAGCAAGCTCGACAGGGTGTTGCACATGTACCACACGAACTACTACGATGACAGAACCGGCCGGGTGTGCAAGCTGCTAAACAGCCTCTACTGGCTAAAGCAGTCGCCGCTGTTGTGGTACAAGGCGCTCAACGACGTGCTAACTAGCACCGACTGGAAGAAGAGCCAGGTTCATGGGGCGTTGTACTTCAAGGTCGGCGATGACAGAGTGATCTGCTGGGTGCTGGTCTACGTCGACGACCTGCTCGCTGCCAGCAGCAGCACCATGATGCGGAGGGAGCTGAAGGAGTTGCTGAAGGCCGCCTTCGAGCTGCGCGAGATCTCGCCGGTCGTGAAGTACAGTGCGCGACAGGACAGCGACGAAGCTATGGGTGCACCAGTAGAGCTACGTAGGCAAGCTGCAAAGGCGCTTCCTCGACGAGGAGTAGACAGGGCGCATCTCGAAGACGCCAAGGAGGCTCAGGAGCACAAAGAAGAGGAGTACCGACCGAAGGTCGGCTCACTGCAGTTCGCGGCGACGACTATGAAGCTGGACACCGCCTTCGCCTGCAGCAAGCTGGGCAGCGGCCTCACGGTGAGGAGCGACCAGCATTGGCGCGAGGTCGACCCTCGGCCGCCTTATACTGCCCTACCTTTTTCCCGAGCTGTCCGCCTTTGCCACAGTCGACGGCCTAGTCACCCACCTCCGCACCAGTGACACTCGCTACTGCGTTGCGCTTCCCACCAAGTTTCTAGACAAGAAGCCTCCCCCCATGTACATCGCTCTCTATTTCATAGTCACCCGCCTCCCTGACTCTTTTAGCGTAGTTAGGGACCTCTTTCTCGCCATGGACCCCACAGACCTCACTGTCGACCTGCTCGAGAAGCACCTCCTTGCAGCTGAGGCTAGCATAGTCGCTGTAGGTGCTGCTCGTGGCACTCCTCGCACTCCCTTCTTTGAGGGGTGTTCCCCCTCACCCCTTGCCCCCTCCTACGCTGCTGCTGTTGCTGTTGACTTCCTTGGTGCTGAGGAGGTCGGGGCTGCGTCTGCTCCTAGTGGGAGGCGCCGCAGCGGCAAGGGCAAGGGAGGCAAGGGTGGTGGGGGTGGTAGCGGTGGAGGCGGTGGTGGAGGCGGTGGAGGCGGTGGAGGTGGCGGTGATGTCGGAGGGAGTGGTGATGGGGGTGGAGGCGTTGGTGGCGGCAGTGGTGGCGGCAGTGCGGCATTGGTGGCGGCAGTGGGAGTGGTGGCGGCTGCGGTGGTGGCGGCCGGGGTGGAACCGGTCAGAGGGGAGGTTTTGGAGGTGGTCAGAGACAGCAGCAGCAGCGTCCGCGTGAGACCCCTTCGCCTCAGGAGCTTCTTGAGTGGTTTGCTCAGCGTGGGGTGTTTGGGGGTAGTGTTCGCTGCCAGTACGTCATTCGCACAGGTAACCGAGCTGGTCAGACATACTGGAAGGTTGGTCATACACAGTCACGCTGCTTCTCCCGTCTTGACGACGCTTGGCGCGCAGAGTTTCCCGACGCGACTGAGCTCCCTCGTTGGCTAGAGCTACTTAGGCAGGGTGTGGATATCTTTGCTCTTGACTATGATGCTATCCTTGCTGCCATGTATGCTTTGACTGTTAGTGCTGAGGGTGACTGTTACCTGTCTATGCCGCCCGACCCAGGTATAGAGGCTGCTGCTCTAGGTGCTAGTGAGTCTGTTCTCCCTGGTACTGTGCCTGCTGAGGCCTTGCACACCTTCACGCTTGACTCAGGTGCTTCCCGCTGTTTCTTTTGCGACAGTACCATAGTCACACCACTCCCTGCACATGTTGCTGTGAGACTGGCTGACCCCTCAGGGGGCCCAGTTCTTGCACGTTCCTTTCTGATCTGAATTTGCCACTCAGTGGAGAGGTAAGGTTGCCTCACTCAATGTTCAAACAAAACAACATTTGCACATGACAAAAGCTGAAACTATTAGGCTTTAGTGAAGCGGCCGCCGGGTTCTCCGCCTATCTTCAAGGCTCGTTACGTTGCACAAGGCTTCAGTCAGCGACAAGGAGTTGACTTCTTCCAGACCTTCTCCCCTACCCCGAAGATGACCACTCTTCGGGTGTTGCTGCACGTCGCTGCTCAGCGTGGCTACGAGCTTCACTCTCTTGACTTCAGCACAGCTTTCTTACAGGGCAGCCTACACGAGGAGATCTGGCTTCGCCGCCCACCTGGCTTCACTGGGTCGTTTCCTGCTGGTACCCAGTGGAGCCTCCGGCAGCCAGTCTACGGTCTCCGCCAGGCGCCTCGTGAATGGCACGACACACTGAGGACGACACTTGCGGCTCTTGGGTTTGCTCCTTCCACTGCTGACCCGTCGCTGTTTCTGCGCACCGACACTTCGTTGCCGCCGTTCTACATCCTCGTGTACGTCGACGACTTGGTTTTTGCCACTGCTGACACTGAGGCTCTCGCCCTAGTGAAGTCGGAGCTGCAGAAGAGACACACGTGCACAGACCTGGGTGAGCTGCGCAGCTATCTTGGCTTGCGGATCACCCGGGACAGAGCATGGCGCACCATCACCTTGACTCAGTCACACATGGTGCACCAGGTCGTTCAGCGCTTCCGCTTCCAGTACTCCTCGCCACAGTCCACTCGCTCTCAGCTCCACCTTCGGACGAGTCCATAGAGCCGAGTGGCCCGTATCCGAGCTTGTGGGCTGCCTGATGTCCCTGATGACCTGCACTCGACCTGACCTTGCCTACCCTCTTAGCATCCTGGCACGCTACGTTGCGCCCGGGAGACACCGACCAGAGCACTGGGAGGCCGCTAAGAGGGTGTTGCGCTACTTGTGCAGTACGTCGTGCACTAGGCTCGTCCTTGGAGGACGGGGTCGAGTGGTCCTCACTGGTCACGCAGACGCGTCTTGGGTTGACGACTTGGCTACGCAGCGGTCGTCACAAGGTTACACCTTCAGCCTTGGCTCCGGTTCTGTTTCTTGGCGGTCTACCCGCTCGTCTTCTGTTCTCAGTTCCAGTTGTGAGGCTGAGATCTACGCAGGGGCCATGGCTGCACAGGAGTTACGTTGGCTCACCTACCTGCTGACCGACTTGGGAGAGCAGCCTAGTTCTCCTCCAGTTCTGTACGTAGACAACAAGGCCATGATTGCCTTGTGTCAGGAGCACAGACTGGAGCACAGGACGAAGCACATCGCTCTGCGTTACTTCCTTGCTCAAGAGTTGCAGCAGCGTGGTCAGCTTTGTCTTGCTTACGTGGCCACTCGGGCCAACACTGCTGATATATTCACCAAGGCACTTCAGCCTGGTGATCATCAGCATTTCTGTACTGTTTTAGGCCTTGTGCCTACTTTGCCTCACTTTCTCACTTCGTGACTTTGATTGTAGTGTGATCTATATACGTATACCTGCATGCTTACACTTGCTAGGTTGTGATCACTCTACAGCTTGTTCCCATTTATATAACTCTGCATGTGAACTGGCCTTGTGGCCATTTGCTTGTGCTCAGAGTGTGTGGTGACTTTGTGATCCACCCTGAGCTTGCTTTGCTTTTCTTGACTGGTTTTGTGACCCCTTGTTCTCCCCCACTTTGCCTATGGGGGTGTGTCAAATTATTATGTTCAATCGGCGGATACGTTGGTATCGGCATCTTCTCGCGTGGTGCATCGCGACACCAAGATTCCACACCGTCATCGTCCGTGGCAGTTGGATCACGATCTGGGAACACGTCCTCCTCGGTGCCCTCTTCACCGTCGCCTCCACCGTCGCCTCCACTGTCGACTCCGCCGTCGCCGTCACCGTCTCCGGTGTTTTGTTTATCGGCGGCCACGTCATCGTCAGCGCCCACAGCCGACTCGTCCCACGTGCAGGCTTCAGGATTTCCCCACCGTGGTGCAGACGGCGGAGTCTGGATGACCACATCGGGAGCCTTGGGTGTGTCCGGTTCAGACATCCACTCGTCAAAAGTGGCTGGTAAATACAGCTGGAGCACGGGCCGTTGATGAGAACTATTCGTACCAGGAACAGGCAGATTCGGAGGAGCGGGAGGAACAGGAGGAGCAGGAGGTGCAGGAGGAGCAGGCGGAGCAGGAGGTGCATGTCAGAATGCTATAGTTGTCTGCAGTGGGGTACTCTATAGTGAGTACAGCCCAAATTAGGGTTTGCTATATGTATCCTATCTGCTGCTAGTGCAACCCCTCTTTCTGTTTCTAACTTTCTTCTAGCGTTTCTCGTCATGCTATCCGAGCGAGAACGCTCCTGGCCTGTGGGCCCACCTGCTTCCGTTGATGTCCTGCCTGTCGCGCGCCCGGGGCGCGCGACGTTTTCTGCCTGCCGCGCGCCCGGTGCGCGCTGCGTTTTTTCTTCCCGCCGCGTGCCCGGGGCGGCACCCCAGGGGCCCGCGCGCTGTCCCCTCCCGTCGCCCGTTGCGGCGCCCTGGGGGCCCGCGCATCGCCCCCCTCCCGTCGCCTGTCGCGGCGCCCTAGGGGCCCGCGCGCCACCCTGCCCGTCGCCCGTTGCAGCACCCAAGGGGCCCGCGTGCTGTCCCCTCCCGTCGCCCGTCGCGGCGCCCTGGGGGCCCGCGCGTCGCCCCCTCCCGTCGCCCGTCGCGGTGCCCTGGGGGCCCGCGCGCCGCCCTGCCCGTCGCCCGTCGCAGCACCCCAGGGACCCGCACGCCGCCCCGCTTCCGCTCGCACGCCGCCCCAGCTGCTGCCCGCGTATCTGCCCAGCGCCGCGCGCCCGCCGCCTGCGTTGGGGGTATGGGGGTGGCGGGTATGGGGGTGGCGGGTGTGTGAGCCGTCCCCTGCTCCTCCTCCTCCTCCGTCTCCCACTGCTGCAGCTACCGCTGAGGGGGGTGGAGGGAGTGGCACTAGGGGGTTGCCGTGGGATTGGCACTTGGGGGGTGCCGTGGGAGTGGAGCTAGGGGTGCATAGGGGTGTGTGTGAAAGGGGGTCTGCGACAGTAGGGGAGGTTGATCAGAGGTGGCCGTTGTGGAGCCAGCAGCGCCAGTAGTCCGGATACCCTTGCTTGTGTCCGGTAGCCAGCGAGCCCGTTGCGCCAGTCGCCCGTGGGTCCGTTGCTCCAGCCGCTCGTCGTAGCCGCGGAACCAGTTACTCCAGTAGTCCGGATACCCTTGGTTGTGTCCGGTAGCCAGTGTGCCAGTTGCTCCAGTAGCCCGTGTGCCAGCAGCTTCAGCCGCCGCCTCCAATCTCCTCTCCTCTCACAGTCCCTCCTCCTCCTCACTTGCCCTCTGTGACTGCCTCTAGCTTTGCTTGTGCTTGTGAACTTCTTATGCGACTGCTTGCTGTGCTGATCATACCCCACTTTGCCTATGGGGGTGTGTCATAATGCACTAATTGTCTAGTCTGCAGTGGGGTACTCTATAGTGAGTACAGCCCAAATTAGGGTTTGCTATATGTATCCTATCTGCTGTTAGTGCAATCCCTCTTTCTGTTTCTAACCATTCCTGCTTGTTAGTTTCTGACAGTGCAGGGGGTGCAGGAGGCACTAGAGGCGCTATTGGCTCACGCGTGTACCAGCCGTCCTCGGTAAGTCGCCACGGGCGATGTGGTTTCTTCTTGAAGAGGAAGTGCGTCCCGCTGAATTCCGCCATGGCTTCGCCAGCCAGGCGGGCTAGATTGGAAACTGAATGAAGAAAAATGAAACTGAAGTTGCACAAATGGGCAACGACGGTGACCCCGTAGGGTTGGCGGCTCGGGGTCCTCGTCAATGACAGGCGGGAAACCCCCGCCTACCCCCGTAGAGGAACCTGCGTGGCAGCATCTACGCTGCGCTGGCAGGGAATCTTCCCCAACCTTCGAGATGGTTGATGCCATGCAGCGCATGCGGCTGTGATTGGGCCGCACGGCAACATCCTCGTCACTGCTGTCACGTTCGATGGTTCTAGACAAAACTGTGCGGTGGGAAACCAAACCGCAGCTGTTTTTGCCTGAAACCCATGCACGATCCCACTTGTTGCATGGTCGGCTGGATTCGCCTTATTGCGGGCTTCAGTTTGGGATGTTTAAAAGTGAATTTCATTTTTTCCCTATTATAGGCGCATGCGCTCATAAAAACGACTCAAATAGAAACGCACCCCCCTAAAAAGCACCGATTTATTATAAGCGCACCTGCGCTTATATTCGGGGTATTATGGTAACGCCAGATGTTCCAACCAACGTCCACACGATGGCGACATCGCAGGACCCATGACATAGACTCTCGCGAAGCCTCGCGAAAAGTGTCACCACACCGAGTTTCGAACGATGTCCTGGTTCGAATGGGCTAGTTTTCAGATGTTACACGCTTTACAATGTTATGAACAAACTGCAATCGCGTTCCCACCCATTCGTGCTGACCACCGCATCGTTCAGATACAGTACAACTGCGAGCTTTCTGTGACGGACTGAAGTGAAGGCCTTACTTCTCTCTTCTGTCTCAGCATTGCTCTGCACTTGATCCGCGCGTAGCCATTTCGTTTTCCAAATCAGATTACAGTGATGACATTTGTGGATCCGGTGTCGGAAGGCAGCTTCCAGCATCTCATGGTTGGCTTTTTCAAGCCGGGTTGCACGGAATCCGACAAGCTTGGTCAGATCATCGGCAATGTCGCGAGCAACATCCAAGATAGCGGTGGAGAGGTCAATTTCTACTCGGTGGACACGGATGAGTTTCCAAGCTTCGACCCGAAGCATGGAGCACATTATACGCCTTCGATTGTGTGTTTCAAGGATGGGAAGCTATCCGTACCTTCGTTGGTGGAATGGACCAGGAAATCATTCAGTCTTGGGTTGAGGAGCACTCATAAGAGGCTTGGGTTGGGTTGACCTCACATAAGAGGTTGCCTGTCGTCGGTCCTCTCAAATGCTTGTTGAAACTTTCATTTCTT